CATGATCTTTGTGCCTACGGAAGCGCAGGCAGACCCGACACCGGCGGAGGTAGAGAGAAGTAACCTGGCTAACTTGCTGCTGGGCATGATGAGAGGCATTATGTGGAATAATACACTGCTGCATTCACATGTGCGCACGGACGCGACGCAGCGACAAACATACAAGAACGATATGACTGCGTTAACAACTGCTATCCGCACAGAGGCAACGCAGCAGCCGCAACAGCATCATCTGTTGAATTCCCTTATCACACGCGTCAACAGCATAGAGGCTAACGCCTCAGCAGCGCCTGCTGCACGACAGACATGACGAAGCAACTCAACGAGCGCATCGATCAGGTCGTCACCATCGACGGCGACATAAGTACTTTCAACGGACCAGACTCGATCAGCAGCACGGTGGCCGCCATCAAGACGGACATCACCAAGCTACAGACGAGACCGGAAGCCGCTACAAAGACGTTCAAGATGCCGCACTTCGACATCAGCAAGTTCGATGATTACAACAAGTCGGACGCCTTGTCATGGTGGCAACGCTTCCTCACGGAAGCATCATGCCGCATGGTCCCGGAGGACGACATGTTGAAGGCAGTATATCACATTACGTGGAAGGAGTTCGAGCAGCTATGGTTCACCAGATTCATGGTCCGCAACGTTGTGAAGATGGCCATGAACGAGGTCTACACATGCTCTCAAGGGAACATGCCAACGCGAGACTGGGCATCAAAATGGCAGAAGATAGTGACCACGCCAGGCTCCGACTTGACGTTCCATAATCAACGATACGAGCTCTTCAAGAAATGGGAGGCAGGACTGCGGTCGGCACTCGGCAACGAGTACGACTATACTACGTTCCAGGCCATTCTGGATAGAACGAACTTAGTCATCCAAACGGACGACAAGGCCGCTAACGAGAGGCAATCCCAGCCGCATTATGTGGCTAAACAGGCCTATCAACGTCCGGCACATAACAATGCCGTGTTTTCTGAGGAAATCGACAACCACCACGCTGCGGCAGCATCCTCGAGTGATGGAGGAATGGTCGCAGCGCTCCCGCCGAAGCRTCCGAAGAGAGTTCGCAAGAACAAGGCGACACAAGAGACAGCGGCGACGGGAGCTGGGCAGCAGCCATGGACGGCTTATAAGATCACCAAGGAGGTCTATGACCTTCGTCAAAAGTACACATACTGCCTATGGTGCAACAGTGTAGTACACACTACCGCACAATGCCCGGACAAGGGCAAGGCACGCGTACCCCGTCCAGCCAACTCGGGAAACTGAGTTACGCAAGGAGAGGGGCGACGTCTCTCCTCACTCCGCCGGACCCGGTTGCCTTGCTAGCAATCGATGTCACTACCGGGGAACATGCGTTAGTCGCTGATCCTCGTGCTACGTACGAGGATTATGCCGCCCAGCTCGTACCACCATTAGACCAGCCAAGCCACGTGCACTTAGCTAGCGTATGCGCAACTTGTACACCGTCGGCAAGTGATCCGGTCAGTTCGCCACTGATTTCCGAGGACACGACGGCGTGGTCAAGACTTGAGGAGCTTGACCCGCTCACGAGAGAGGACTTCGCCTGGATGCCTCTACCCTCGACCGGAACCTTGCCAAGGCCGCATTGCAACGCCTTAATGGCAAATCTACGCTTCTACTTGCACACTACAGTACCAGCTCCGTTGACAGACGACGAGGTAGCGGTTGTCGATCTCCGCTCCTATCTAGCGAAGATCGACCGCGAGCACGCCACCCAAAGGTACGCTGAAACCGACGCACCTTTGCTCTATATCCGCATTCAAATCGGAAAGGCAACCTGTAGTGCCTTGATTGATTGCGGAGCGTCTCGCAACTTCATGAGTCAAGCCTTTATGGCCCGCGCAGGTCTTGGCCCGCGCGTTCGAAGAAAGACGCAACCTACGCAAGTTACACTCGCGGACGGCCGCACGCAAAAGTCAATTGACCGATGCGTNGTTCAGTTAGCACTTTCGAATGAGAGAGAGGAAAAGAGAGAGAGAGAGAGAGAGAGAGAGAGAGAGAGAGAGAGAGAGAGAAACTCGACCATCCCCCCACGATCAGGTGTACTATCTGTTCCGGTCAGTTTCATATCTGATCTGTTGTTGATCAAGAACTTAAAAAAAGAAGGGAAAAGAAAACGGAAAATCCGTTTGCATACTGATCAGTTCAATGGAGAAAAAAAGACAAGGGAAGCATGAGCCATTTCGGAAATAAAAGAAACCGGAAACACAAGTGATTTCGGGAAAAAAAAGTAAAGGGAAGTGGGCGCGTGCACGCACGCAGCTGCAAGAGGTAAGACGCACACACAGAGAGAGAGAGAGAGAGAGAGAGAGAGAGAGAGAGAGAGAACCTAAACAAACTAACGAACCCGCCCCCAAAAATGACAACGACGATGACGATCAAGTGAGGTATCTCTTCCGATCAGTTCGAAAAACGGCATGACGATCAAGTGAGGTATCTCTTCCGATCAGTTCGAAAAACGGCACGCGCACGTGCGCACCCACCAGACACAGACAGAGAGAGAGAGAGAGAGAGAGAGAGAGAGAGAGAGAGAGAGAGACCCCAAACTAACTAACTACCCCGGCCCCCAAAACGACGACGACGATGACGATCAAGTGTAGTATCTGTTCCGATCAGTTTGATACCTGACCCGTGGACCATTGGGAGATTGTTTATATAAAAAAAACACGTAAAACAGCGAGCGACACACACACACACACACACACACACAGAGAGAGAGAGAGAGAGAGAGAGAGAGAGAGAGAGAGAGAGAGCCCAAAATAACTACCCCGCCCCCCAAACCGACGACGACGATGACGATCAAGTGTAGTATCTGTTGCGATCAGTTTGATATCTGACTGGCGGACCATCGGGAGTTCTTAAAAAAATAAAATGGAAAAACGGCACGCGTATTAGAGAGACACACACAGAGAGAGAGAGAGAGAGAGAGAGAGAGAGAGAGAGAGAGAGAGAGAGAGAGAGAGAGAGACCCCAAACTATCCCGCCCCCCAAAACGACGATGACGATGACGATCAAGTGTAGTATCTGTTCCGATCAGTTTGATATCTGACCCGTGGACCATCTGGAGATCTTTACTAAGAAAAAAAAAGAAAACACCGCGCAGCACACAGAGAGAGAGAGAGAGAGAGAGAGAGAGAGAGAGAGAGAGAGAGAGAGAGAGAGAGAGAGAGAGA